ATTGGGCAAATCTGTTGCAAAAGACTTCCTTAAGATGTTCAAAAGCAAAGATGTCACCTTGAGGACTAAGGTGTGCCTGACCCAAGCTATGATATTTTCAGTCGCCCCATATGCATGCGAAAGCTGGAAACTAAAGAAGATGGAAGAAGAATTGATGCTTTGAATTGTGGTGTTGGCAAAGAATATTGAATATACCATGGACAGCCAGAGGAATGAACAAGTCTGTCTTGGAAAGAAATACAGGCAGAGTGCTCCTTGGAAGTGAGGATGGTGAGATTTTGTCTCGTGTTAGGAGGGACCAGTTCCTGGAGAAGGACATCATGCTTGGTTAGGTAGAGGGTCAGTGAAAAAGAAGAAGACCTTCTATGAAATGGATTGACAAAGTGGCTGCAACAATGGAGTCAGACAGCAATGATTGTGAGGATGGGACAGGACCGAGCAGTGTGTCGTTTTGTTGTACATAGGGTTGCTATGAGTTGGAACCCACTCAGCAGCACCTAACAATAACAACAGCTTGAGGAAACATTGTGGGGTAGTTCTACTCTGTCCTGTATGGTAACTGTGAGTCTGAATTGACTCGACGGCAACGGGTTTGGTTTTTTCGGGGGGCTTTTATGTGTTCTCTGAAGCATCTTCCCTCTTTTTATTTTAAAAATGGTTTTAATTACCCAGATGATACAGAAATACACTCTTTCTATAAAAATATTCAAATAACACAGAATAATGTAGAGTAGAACATATAAGTCCCCCTTTACTTTCCTTTGTTCCCCTCCCCATTCCAGATGTAATCACAGTTGATAACACTGTTCACTTATATACAGTCTGAGAAGCTCTGAAAAACCGACGTTTTTTTCAAACTCATTTGGCACAAAACCTAACCTGACCTGAACTTTCTGGCCACAAATGACATGATCTCAGTTGGGAGCAAAACCTGATCCAAATGATCATGAGGCTGTTGGTCATCATTATGTTTGTCATTTCCTGTAAATATTTATGTGCTTCAGTACAGAAATATTAATGAATTAAGAGTGCTTCCCCAGACCCTGCTGAAAGAGTTGTTCTAACACATGGCCTATCCCCCATTTTACCTTTCTACAATCTGCAAATTTCTAAAATTTGAAACTCATTTGTTTCTGAGGTTTCAGGTAAGAGATTATCAGCCTATAGATTGTTTATATGAGTTTACAGACACATCTACATATAGGTAGGTATTTCCCACCCCATAGGGTTTCCAGGGAGCAGCTGGTGGATTCAAACTGCCGACCTTTTGGTTAGCAGCTGTAGATCTTAACCACTGCACCACCAGGGCTCTGGTAGATAGGTAGGGAGGGTTTTTTTTTTTTTTTTTTTAAGGGTACATATATTGTTCTAGTTGTTTTTTGTTTTTGTCTTTTAACTTAATTTGAGCTGGACATTTTTTCTGTGTCAGTTTACATGTACCTTATTCATTTTAACCACTTTATTGTATTCCATAGTATGGAAGTACCATAATTTATATGAACACTTTCCTTATTGATGGACATTTAGTTATTTCTAAGTTAACACTGTTACAGTGTTACTTCAATATTTCTGTAGGGTAGGTGCAAACAGTTAAAGCATTTCAACTGCTAACCAGAAGGTTGGAGGTTCGTGTCTACCCAGAGGCACCTATGAAGAAAGGCCTGGCTATCTACATCCAAAAAATCAGCCATGAAAAACCATATGGAGATAGTTCCAGCAAAATGGCGCTCTAGGCAGAAGCACCATGCTGTCCCTCCACAGCAAAGATCTGAAAAACTAAGCTGAACAGAGAATACAACAATCCTGAAACCCTA